CTTCTTTACTACTACTATAACTACTACTAACTTCTTTACTACTACTATAGCTACTACTAATTTTTTTAGCGTCTTAATAATTATTATTAATTTTATTAACTTTACTACTAGTACTAGTGCTATTACTATAGGGCGCTTAATTACTACACGTAATAATCCTTTATAGGCAGCCTTATAGGCTTAAGTACTGTTAGCTAGTAGCGCTAGTAATACCTCTTTACTACTAGGGGTAGTAACCCCCTTCTTTAGCGCTATTATTTAATAATAGTAGTAATAACAACAGCAACAAGCTTATTAATTAAGGCTATTTACACTACAGTATCTACATAAAAATCCATAAATCTATAGGTAAGTGGCCACCTAGCAGGGTAACCCCCCTGCGTGACCCTAACTAGGGTGGTTATAATAGTGTTTCTAACGCACGGACTAAAAAATAGGTTTTAGACGCTGCCAACGCAACAGACTGTAACACCCAATAAAAATGACTCAGCTTTCCGGAGAAAAGCTCCGGACCTCACTTGGCGGACGAAAGCAGGGCGCCGCCGCTCTGGCATACGTTGTCGTCATGGCATAGGAGTGTTGGCTCGCAAGCATGCTGCCTCCCTCCCACCGGACCCTCTTCTACTGGTATTGGCAGCCTATCCGTTGCTGAATATCACAATGCCAGTCTACGGCCCTCTTCGGCAATTATTGTGTAATAACTACGCCCCCCCCCTCTCAAATCGTGTCGGGCTCGCATGGGACTCTCTGACTGGCCCAACACTCTCTGCAATAGCCATCAAAATCCCAATCTGGGAACTGGCACTGACGCTCAAGTCCACACCATATGGGGGCTACCGTTCCCTTGCCTTGCCCTGCCCTGCCCTGCCTTGTCTTGCCTTGTCGCTACTGGGCCAAGCTCATGCCCCCAAGTGGATAGCAGTCACGAAAACATGGCCAGTCCAGCTCCCCGCACCCGGTCTCGATTTGACTGTACGTACTTCATAAAGAGGATTGAACGTCTTCTTCGCCTTCGTCCCCCCGCCCCCCCAGAAAGAGAAAGAAAAGAAAAAATCCTGGGCATATATCTATGTATATATATGTATACGTTGCTAGCAGACTTCAACGTTACGCAAAGCCGCACGTCGTCAATTCATCACTGCGAACTCTTAGGACTATCTTCAAGAGCCAAGAGCCAAGAGCCATTCATATTCACCTACACGACCATCAACCTCTGAGAAGAGTAGCATACAACAAGCATTGTTGCTCTAAACATCGCTGTCCCAGGACCCAAGCCTAACCAACCATACGGGCAACAGCCTGGGAGGGCCAGACACCCTTGCAAACTCTCCTCGTCCCCGGTCGCAGCCCGGCTCAGTATAGGAGAAAGGCAATCATGGATTATTACTCTGCCAGTGGTGCCAGCACATCTGAGCAAAGTGGGTTACCGGCCAGAGCAGCATCTTTCAAACCAACGCCTAACTTTTCCGCCAACTCAACAGACAGAACGAATCTGCAGCAGAAAGAGCACGGGCAACAACAACAACAACAACAACAACAACAACAACAACAACAACAAAGGACGCAGTTCCTCTTCAGCCAGCAGCAGCAACGTCTGCAACAACCGATTGAGCCCAGAGCAAGTAGCTCGCAGTCGGCTTTCGTGTCACTTTCGGCCTTGAACTCGGCCCGTGGGGCCCCTCCATCGGTGGTGGATCGACACTCTTCGACCTCGACGCAAAGCTCTTCGGGATGGCCCGATTCCCCGGTCAGCAATGCCACAGACTCGTTGTCTTCGCCAACGAGCTCCGTCATCTCACCGCCAGCACCGCCGATTGACCCCCTTCTCTTCGACTCAGCAAAGGGAACAGAGCGCCCTCAAAAGGAAGACGCCAGCGAGGCACCAAAACGTCGTAGAGGCCGGCCCAGGCTCTTCGATGCCTCTTCCAAGACTGCCAGCGCGGCGGTACCGACACCTACGAAAGTACACAAGAAGAGCGCCTCTCGACGTACCTCGACCGCGTCGGCTAGTGGCGTTGACGAACACGCAGACGGGCACGGCGCAAGCACCGTCAACGACAAGAAGAACCGCATCCGCGCGCGCAACCGCGAGGCCGCGTACAAGTGCCGGCAGAAGAAGCAGAAAGGCATCGAGGAGCTGCAGACCCAAGAGGCAGTAATGGAAAACATCAACAAGAGCCTCAACAGCGAAGCGGCACAGCTCCGTGGCGAGATCCTGATGTTGAAGAACATGGTGCTTCAGCACGGCGGCTGCGGGTGCCCGTACATTGAGGATTACATTTCCGGGGCCGCACAGAACCTGGTGCAGTCGAGCATGGCGGCATCCGCCTCAGCTGCCGGCGGTGGCATGCAGATGCACAGCCAGGACTGTAGAAACGGAACGGGGGGGGGAGAATACATCGACTGGAAAATGTTCGACATGGATACCAAGGCTGGCATGCCCTCCCTCGAGTCAGAAAGCGGCTTTTCTGGCTACGACGACGTTGCCTCTCATAGCGCGAGGGCGCATTCCCAAGGGGCCTCAATGGATTGAGAATAGGAAAAGTTGTAGAGCTGGAAAGGCCGGGTACTGTGGGAATGATTCAGTCTCTCATCATCTCTTGAATGGCACGGCGTTCTGGCATATGATTCTGCAAGGGCAGGATCATACAAGACAAAAAAAAAAGATGTATTAGCGGCGTTCAGCGTGGGTATCTTTGGGGAGGATTGTTGCCCGAATAGGACCAAGAGCGCTTCCCGAGCAGTTTTTTTTCTTTTTCGACTTCTTTTCCATAGTGTCTAGGAGTAAATGATAATGAGACCAATGAATCAAAACAAATTCAACGTTCCTGGTTGTTCCCGAAGCATATAAGGCAGTTTAGCTAACTTTGCAACACGTCTCGGCCAGCTTGGTTTGACCAATGATGTTTCTAGCATAATATGTGAACCCTACACTGCTGCTGTATGCTGTGCTGGAGCAATACAGTTTCTGGAGTCAGAAGCTCTTGGTACCACAATCAAAGGGAGGTTTGGCATTTCTACGATAGAGCTCAATCCTGAAAAACTTGACATTGTGTCTATGAAATAGTTGGCATTCACATCGGCCGAAAGTGAACGTCGCAGGGGCTACTTGTTAATGCTCATCTCTTTTAGCATCACCGAGAGCTACGTGTTATCAAACAGAGTGACTGGTTTCCAATTGGTAAACGGAACGATTCAGCAGCCGTTATCGCGGTTATAGTACATCCGACCTTTTCGTGGTGTGGTGGCCATACCGGTAAATCCTGGCTAGTTGAGCAGGAGAACGGTCCGGACATTCGACGGGAATGAACCAGCGACCGAAACGGGAGCTAAGCATTCGTGAGTGCGTCCGATGCCGGGCAAAGGGACGATCGGGCGATGGCGTCCATTCGCCGCCGTCTGCACACGTCTGAATACGAAACGACAACATTCTGGCATGAGCACCTACAAGTATCCCACAACGTCGAATGAAGCTGCAGGTCTGCTACGTGGTGCGCACCACTCACAGTCCTTCCCCTCGTTATTTCAAGTTTCGACTGAATATCTCCCCATGCTTCCGGTCCCTCCAATGAAGGGAGACATTGAGCTCTGGCTCGAGTTCCGGCACACGAGCCAATGAACTCATCCCACCGAATGACGCGAATTGCATGAAGTCAAAGGTTGTGTCACGTCAACCCTAGATGTGGGTGGGTGGTTCCCAACGCAACTTGTTGGTTCTGATACGATATAGTACCGTGGTGGAAGGCTATGCGGATATCGTTGATCTGTCCTACGACCATCAGGCTATCTTGACGCAACCACTCGGAGACAAGGCCGTCAGAGAGGCTGGATTTGGTCACTGCGGCCCCGGCACAGGTGCGGAGACATTACACCCCGACACCGTTATCTTCACGTCATTAGGCCCCCGTCTTCCTCGGGATCTAAGCTTGACCTACCTGAGATATCTGTGCATGCTGCGTAGTAATAGATGTCGCCACCAACAGCACGGCCATTGGATGATATGATCGGCGTGCCCACGTTTTGATGCAGACGTCAGCTTACCAGTACCTACCGGTAGGTAGTCGCGCGCAGCATTGTGCAGGGTCTCCTTGACGATCACATCGAGGGGGTGCCGATAAACTTTGATAAAAACTTCCTTAGCAGTGCCGCACTACGGAACCTTGACAGGTGTCTCCGAGAGTCTTGTTCCCCACGGGCTGCTCACTGATCGATGGGCGAATTGGGGAGATCCCAAGGTTGTATGTAGATGCTCCCGTACCCGGATCGGTCCCAAAGCTGCTGTTAGTGCCTCCCCCGGGCCCGGCTCTCAGTTCACAGAGACCGTCAACCTTGTTGCTCGGGTCTACGTCGGGAACAATGAGGTGGCATTGCCATTTGCCAGGGGTTGTCTCTAATACCTAGAAATATTGAATCCGATTCTCATACACAGTACGGAGTACGTACTGCCTATACGCACGACAGCCTCTCGGTCATCCTCCAGCAAAGAGCATTCGAAGTCAACCAGAGACACCGTAACACATCGGCCCCGCAGACGATGCCATTGGTTTACATGCCGAAGCTTAAGTTGTATTGAAGAGCCAGAAAACCCGGCTGACAAAGCTGGGCGATCTGTCCTGGGCATATTTGGAGCCGACAGAATAACCTAAAAAGGCCTCCAACAGCCAGCAACAAGGGACTGCCCTGAACAAGGCCATATTAATATGTGGCCATGCCGCTTAGCCGCCCCCAATTGCGTCCATTGAGGTTGTAATACGAACGCCTACTTACCATGTGACAATCAACGAAGCTTCCGGAGTGCGGATCATCGATGTCAGCTGTCGCCAGATTTCTGACTCTTTCCCTCCAAGCTGTCGCCCAGTCTCGCTACATACGGTTCTGAGACATTGCGCGCATGAAAAGCTATGGTCCTGCACTTCTAGACTATTCCGAACATTTGTCTCTTCGCATCGTGAGTCTACCATGCTGCAGCTTCGGAACATCTGCTGCCCATCAACGTCCTAATGGCGACGCCTATTCCCCCGGCCTACTTCGAGCTGAGCTGGTCGATACTCAGCACCATCGGTGCCGCAAACGTGCTGTTCGGCCTTCTCGTCATCGGCATAACAAGCTTTTCGCAGATCACCATGGTCCCTATCGTCTCATCGGCTGCCGGCTCTGTCGCGAACGGCCTTTGTTTCTACGCCTTTTATGACCATAAATACTCACTCAAGAACAAGGCGACGGCCTCGGCATTTGGTGATGTCTTCTGGATGGTGCATATTGGTCATCTTTGTAGTAGAGAGAGCATAGTCTAACACAGCTCTGCAGATCCAAGAAGTCGGCCTGTCATTTTACAGCTATGCCCTTCTTCGGAAAATCCTAAAGGACAGGATGTGGAAGGTCTTCAATACCCTTTTCTGGGCGGCAGTTCTCGCCATCGTCGCTATCCGGTCCATGATCGCCTTATCACGCGTCAGATACATCCTCAAAGGCAACACCGAGATACAAGACACCGTCAACAGCCTTCACGTCAGCTATTTCGTCCTCATTGCCTCGCTAGAGTGCCTCAGCGCCTTCTTCCTGCTCAAGACGTTTATCCAAGTCAAATCAACTTCGGATAGGGCAGCCTTGAAAGCGGGATTTTTCAAGTATCTGATGCGCAGTACCGAGGTTCGCCTTGCCACGCTGGCCGTTTTGGGAACGATGAGAGCGGTCACGTACTCCTTCCAGATGACGGCTCAGAGCGCGACAAATGTAGCCAGTCAACTCGACCGCTTCGCCTACGCGCTGGAGTGCCTCTTCCCGTCTGTCATGTTGTATGCTGTCTCCTGGTTCGATCCTAGTTAGCCGTAATTCGTTGCTGACATGCCTAGCATCGACATATTGGCATCTAAACTGGTGTTCACGAGGCAGGGTTACGAGCTTACCCAGTCAAGACGCTCGTATCTAAGAGGCTTTAGCTCTGCCATGAAATTAGATGAAAACTGCTATGACGGTACGCGGCATAGCGAGCGGTTCGTCGAAATTCACGGTGGGAGAGGGAGCCCGCAAGATAATACGTCCAGCCCTAGTCCGCCAGGATCTTTTGCTGATCTCCACGGCGGAGAGCCGGGATCCCAGGGTGGAATCAACAAGACCGTTGTGATCAGTGTGAGACATTCTTCAAGTAGTAGCCCAAACAGGCCGAGACATTGCCATGCTTTACCTTGACAAAAATTGTATACAGCATTAGTAGTATAAAAATACATGGTCGATAACTATTATTGTGAAGCTAGTGGTGAAAACTACAATACTATACGCTCATGCTTGTGCAGCGTTGCTTATTCGATTGTCCGCATCTTTCTATATATATATTTCTCGGTCAAATCCCTGGTCGAGGAAAGTCACAGTGAGTATGCCTGTGCATACTTATTAGTTGTAAAGTCCCATAAGCGGCCGGAGTGATACGACCTAGACGGCCGGTTTAGTTGATCAGAAACACTTTGTGAACAGTCAGGGGAGTTGTGAACTGACAGGCCAGCACGTCTTCAGGGTTTATTCGATTTACTCGAGCTAGAATTTGGCACTATGGTCATCCAAGTTATTTAGGAAGCCGATAACGATGATGCCAGATCATGAAGCTTCTGGTACGAAAGTAGCTTCGTTTACGATTCAACACGTAACCCTAAGTTATCCTAATGTTAGCGATACTTCAAAATGCTTTCTATCATGGAAGTGTTAGAAACTTTCCCCCTTTAAAACGCCAGGACCGTACAAGCTACATTTAGCAAGACAGGTCATTTTCAGACTATGATCTCTTCTCATAAACATGGGGACCTAATATTATTGTTGGTATCCCAGGGATAAATCGATCCGATGGCAATATAGTCACGACGTAGGTGGAAACAGTGCTTATTGAATTGATTAGTGAAGAAGAGAAAAGTTCAGATACATCTGTTTGCTGGCCGGCTGGATACATATATCCAGCCAGCAGTCACGTGATTATCCATATTCCGACAATTATATTGATAAGATGTGCGGGTTGGGCCTTCCTCATGGTTTCTAGGTTACCTATATGCAGAAGCTTGTCGTTCTACAGAATCACTCGGCATCCAGGAACACAAGTTGATCAAGGCGTACTTCAGGTGGAACTTGAAGATACCTACAGCGCCCAAGATAGAGTACATTTTCGATTTAGTAGGGGCCATATTCAGCGTTGGACAGAATCTGCACTAGGAATTGCTAGGCTTTGAAAGACGGCTATGAGGAAGCTGTCATCAGGACCTCATGACGAGAGTCTCATGGTTTCTACCGCGCCACCTGCTATATACCACGATTTATACTCATTAGTCAAGTATATAGAGCAGCCAAATTGGTCAACCGTACTTTTCAATCAAAAAGTGAAGAATCTTCCGCCCCATTTCTTCTACGCCAGGTTGTGTGCTCTAACTCGTGAAACGAGCCTTATGATCAGCTCAAAATTCACGGTGCCGCAACATATTGAAGATGGGCTGCTTCATGTAACTGCGCATCGGGATTGCTGCTTGTTTGACATATGTGATAGCCAGACAATCGTGTGAAAGGAGCCGGAACATATGCTGGTATTGAATGATTCATATGAACGGGATAGGATGCGGCTAAGCGCAGAATCAGCCCTTGACTAATATCAATAATAGTATTATCATAGCAACGGAAGCTTTATAAGTCGGCCTCTCACGCGAAGCTAATTGCCATCGATGTACTTCTATAACATCTTGAAGCCAGTAAAAAGAAGAAAATAAACATAATAATCATAATAATTATAAAATCCTGGACAACCAGCTTGGGCGTGACATAAGAAATCTTTCAAGTGAGTGCCCTGGACCATAACTACCATTTGCTCTTTTCTCTGCTACGACAGTACACGTTGCAGCAGGATGTCTCCTCATGAACACATTAGACTCCCAGGTTTGGGACCCAACTTGATTACCAAGTAACGACAGCAACCAGTCGCGCTTCTGTAAAAGACGCTCGAGCTCAAACCGGAATGGCCTGCATAGTTAATACTGGTGACCCGCGAACCGACTAAACACTCAAGGTATCTATGCAGGGCCCGTATTATGGGTGTGCACAGAGCTCTCGACGGTGTGCTAGGGGTCAGGAACGGCCTTTCTTATCAGATGGTACAAGCGCTCGTCCTCACATTAGTCCCTCAGCAGTCGTTGTGTGACCGCAGTACACGTTTCTGGATTGACGCCATGGTGCGATGGTGGTTGGTTCGGCGTTCGGGTCGGCGAGGTCTCGCCAACTCTATTCCCGACTTCGATGCGCGCAGTAGTAGCCACTAACCATCTAGTAAAGTCACTTCTAAGCAGTAGTCGCCGCAAACCTGTCCCGACACTTCGGAGAGGAAAGGTCACAACTGGCAGGCCGCGGCAAAACCAGAACCAACAAGTTCCCAGCCGAGGGCCTCCTCAAGCCCAGGCGGGGTGTCCCGGTTTGACCTTCCACATGGCCCTCCCCCTCTCGGGCCACGACGCCCTCATCAAGGTTGGCACTATGCTCTGAGAAGGCTGAGAACGAATGGCCAGGCTTCATCCAAAGTCTGGAACACGCACCTTTCTGGGCCTGTCCCTCTCCCGTCCGGGTTCCAACTGAGCTTCCCCCTTTTCCTGAGTATCTTCGGCAGCCCCCTCATCTCACGGATAAGCTTTCCGGCACCCTGGACCGTTCAAAGAGAAACAGCGTCTAGATGACTGATGCACTTACACCGTTATGGCCCCGTCCGCATCGCTCACGTCACATGTACCCCTCCTTCAAACCCAAGAAAGCGGGTGGAATCACGAAGAAAAACTTTGGCTACCTTCATGGGAGGCCTATAAGTCCATGTGCTGGCATCTGCCACACAACCCAACCTTTTTCTTCCCCCCCGTCTCACCTTCTCCTTCATGAGCGCAGCTCACTTTCCCTCGCACGTCCTGACAATAGTTCGGCCGAGCTACCTTTATCTCACCTTTTGGACATCAAGAACCACACTCCGCGGACCATAAGTCTGCGTCCAATCGAAATCACCCACCGACAGAGACGAAAGATGCACCTCCTGGCGCTGGGCCGGCTGGCCCTCCTCCTCGCGCCCGCCCTCGTCCTCGCACTCCCCACACCCAAGGACGCCAAGTTCTTCAACCCGTCCGACGACCCCTTCGTCACGGACCTGGGCAAGAAGACGGGCAGGATCGGCATCGATATAGTGGACCCTAGCGCCCTGCGCGTCGACCCTGTTCGCGTGTTCGAGGGCATCGAGCGGTCTCCGAGCAAGACGACGTCGCTCACGAAGCGGCACGACGCCGCCCCGCTGGAGGAGAGGGAGAAAGAGGAGTTGGCGGCCGCGGGTACGGCGATGGACGAGGGGAAGGAGGGCGCCAGGGCCGCCAGGCGCGCGCACGTCCAGGTCGACCCGGTAGAGGTAGACGTGCCCGTCGTCCGGCCGTCGCCGATGGTCATGCCGGCGCACGCGCGGCACCCGCAGGACACCAGCCCGACGGGAGACATGCCCAAGTTCAGACCCGTGTATGACACCGGGGAGTGGGTTCGTCATTACTGAAAAGGCGGGAAAAAGAAGAACAAAAGCAAAAGAACAAAAGAAGCCTAGGGCGAACGCGGTGACTGATAATATGTTCAGAGTGGCTGATGAGACTGACTACTGAGCAGTCATGCCCGCAAAGGTCTGCATGGTATGCACTTGAAGGGGAGAGGTTCCCGGATGAGTATTACTTGGCGGAACTGTCGCTGTCGCAAACGTTCGGTATCGTTTGAGGACGGAGAGGAGGCGAATGACTCGGTTTCGTCACGCTCGTGTAAGATTTAAGAGCGGAAACCTGGATGGATATGATTGATGGCCGTCGGGGTTCGGGCATTCAGAGAGAGACTTCTCAAGGTTGGTGCCATCGTGTCCATCAGTCGCTGTCAGCCTTGGGGAAAAAAATAAGATACCAAGGATTATATGTGCGAGGTTCCATTGTCAAGGCACGGGCGTGCTGGTCCCCCCCTCGTTTGTTCGGGGTTTTGTTATCTACAACACCATTCTGTTCATAAGCTCGTTAATTAAAATACAACTGCATCCCTCGAGGCTATACAAAGCGGGTTGACAGCAGAGAATAAAAACAAAATCCATGACTCGTTCAGACGGGAAAATTGCCTGTTCCATGTGCAGGCCGGGACCAAGGTATAAGGGAAGGGTATGCATCCGACGCCAATGATATGCAACCAAGAACAAGCTAGACGCCCTTTTTCCGACCGATGACCATTACAAGCCAACCTCCAACCCAAACCGCCCTCATATTCACATGATTGTCTGACATTGCCTCCCGCTCCAGGCGTTTCGTTGGTCAGGCTTAGTTAGCTAGGGACGGGCAAATCCTTGTTTCGCCTACACGATAGTGTCAGTCGCTGTCTTGGTAAAAGACACGGATTAGGGGCGGATGACTAACCTTCATCTGTTCGATTCTGGCTTTGAGCTGGCTTGTCACCTCGGCAGCACGCTTCCAGCTTTCCACGCCATTGCTGTTATGGTTGTTCGATGTCATACCATTTCCTCCGCCGGACGGGTATGAAGGTGGCGGCATGTCATCAACGGGGGTGGCCACGTTGCTTCGGTAGCCTCTAGCAGGGCTGCCGCGGCCAGATGAGGCACTGCCTGTATACCTGAGTTCCGGGCTGAGCGCCTTTGAGCGAGGGTAGTAGTGGTCTCCGTTCTCCTTCTCCTCGGACATGTTGCTGGCGTAGCTAACGCGGTTGTGTCTGGCAGAAGATGAACCAAACGAAGCGTCGCGGTAGATGCCGACGTCGTCGTACGTCGGTGAAGTGAGGCCTACCACAGAGTTAGTCACAAGCTGACGGTCAATCAAGAATGCGTATGTTGGCTCACCAGGGCTGGCCATACCCGATCTAGAGTTGAGGCCTTCGGCGTGGTTGAGCGCCCTCTTGAGGCGGTCAAGCTCGCGTCTGAGGCGGTCGTTGGTCTGTTCCGTGGCCTCGGCATCGCTTCTTGCGCGGACCAGCTGTGTTTCCTTGGCCTTGATGCTGAGAACGTCGCGGGTGTGGTCTTCGATGAGGCCGGCGTTCTGGTTCTTGAGCTCTTGGATCTCAGACATGTACTTGCTCCTCTCGTGACGCATTTCTTCGACTTGGCGCGCGAGGCGCTCATTCGCAGCCCTCAATTCCTCGAGCTCGGCCCGCTCCATCGCGGTAAGCCCGTCGGAGGGTGGTGGCGACGCAGGAGGCATTTGCACAGGGGCAGCAGCAGGCTTGGCAAGCGAGCGTCCGGCAAGCCCGCCGCGACCGAGACCAATGCGAGGTTGTGGTGGAGGAGGGGCGGGATCATCTTCGGGCATGATGGGAGCAGCCGCAGGACGACGAGGGGAGGCGGCGGAAGGTGCCCCGAGAGGCCGCTTCGACTTGAGACCAGCGAGACCCGACGGCTTCGGCATGCCCATCTTGGTGCCGGCTGGCTTGGAACGGGACGAGGCTTGCGGAGAGGGGGGCTCGAAATCGTCTGGCGGGGGCGCAGCTGCTGCAGGCATTACCGGCTTCTTCATCGCCGGCTTCTTGCCTCCGACGAGCTTCTTCGGGGGCGGCGCCTTTGCTGCTGGAGGAGGCGCCTTAGGCTTCTCCTTGGCCTTGACTTGGGCGGTCTCAAAGAACTCCTTGATCTTGGTTTTGCGGATGTCGTCGAGGCCCTCCATGTGCGGGCCCATGGCACGCTCGCCAATAATCTTCATGACGGTACCCAGAATCTCGGCACCACCCGAGCGGAGGCCCTCACTGGACTCGGACAGCAGCTTCTTGCCCGACTCGACAATAGAGGCAATTTCGGGCTTGCTGGGAACATCTCGGGTCGTCCTCAGACAGCGAATCAGGAACTTCATGGTGCCCTCCTTGACCTGGGGGTTCTTGTGAACGAGGTACGTGTTGATGTCCTCGAGACAATCTGTGAGGCTCGTCGCCAGGAACACCTGGTCCAGAGCGGCGCCCAGAGCGTCCGCCACCGACGCCTTCTTCTCCTTCAAGCGGTCCATAATGGGCTGCATGACGGTGGCGCGGTGCTTCGCGTAGCCGGATCTCAGACCTTTGGCCAAGACCTCGATACATTGCGCAGCCTGAGTGACGACGGCAACGTTGGCGTCTTTCATGCATTTCGCGAGCCCGCGGTTGATCTCGTTGAAATCGCCGTCCTTGATTCTCGGGACGTTGATTGCAGCGTAGAGTCCCTCCACCGCTTCCTTTCTCTCCTTCCACTTAGACGATGCCAAGGCCTCGCTAAAGTTGGCGGGGACCTTTCCAAGCACGTCTTGGGGTTCTGCCAAGTCGAACGCGTCCACCTCGGCCGGCTCCTCGCCATAATCTCCGTCGTCTTCCTCCTCCCCTTCGGCTCCTGGAGGCGGGGCGCGGGCCATGGCGGCTTGCTGTGAGCGCAAGAAGCGTTCTTGCTTCGGAGCGGGTTCGGACTTGATCTTCTCGAACTGGGCCTCGAGGTCGGTCTGTTGCGTGGGCTTCAGGTCACCCCAGAACATGGGCTTCATGGCCTCGCGCAGCCACCTGTAGAATTCGACGGCAAGGTTCGTGGCGGCGGCGCGAACATTCTTGTCGGCATGGCCGAAAGCCTTGGGGAGGGCCTTCAGAACGGGTTTTGGGTCGACTGTCTTGCAGCCATAGCTGTGGTAGATGGCCGTCAGGGCGGTGATGGCGGCGGCGACAACCTTGGGCTGCTTGTTGGAGAGGGCGGGGATGATCTCTTCAATGACGGGGCCAGCAACATCGAGCTCGACGAGCAGGAGGAGGGCTTCCAGCGACGATTCTTTAGCGGCGGCGCGGGTTGAGGGCAGACCCTTCTCGCATATAGGCCCTATCGTGACACCGCGCGTCCTTGTGCAGTGTTCCTTACCGCCGAATTTGAGAAAGGCACAGTATGCGGCGAGACCCTCTTGTTGAGCGGCAACGTTGGAATCGGCGACGGCGCCTTTCCAGATGCCCGAGTCGGAAATGAAGGGTCTGAAGGCATTGTCGTACTCGTCGGCGGTGGCGGCGAATGCCTTGGCGGCCTCTTCGTAGGCTCCCTTTCGGACTTTCCAGACCTAGAGGGCGTCAGCTGGCGGGCCAGGGGGCGGCGCAAGGGGAGGAGCAGTAGGGGGGTACCTTGTGGGCAAACCTATCCTGGAGGGGGATGGAGCTAAAGTCTTCTTCTTCGGCCATCAGGATGGAGTGTTTTTGCTGGGGTTGTAAAGGTTCAGATTTGGTGCGCAGAGAGCAACTCGTCGGCGGGAGAGCAAGTGGCGAGTCGGAGGGGAACTTGTCCTCGTCGCGAGTGGCCGGTTTTTTGCTGAAGCTTGCTACTCGCCTGATTAGCTTGGAGAAGGAACGGGAATGCTTGAGGTGATAGCCCATGCTGGGAACATAGGCGGGCTGAAGAGCTGCATGCAGGCAGCGGGAAGCAGCAGCAGCAGCAGCAGCAGCAGCAGCAGCAGCAATGACTGGAGATGTCTGTGGTGATATGGACGGGACGTGACTTACAGTCTGGGTCCGGGAGTGAGGAACAAGAATAGACGTTGCAAGATTGCCTGAGCAGCGGCGGGAGTATCTGGGTAGTTCGGGTTAGCGGACTGGTGCGCTGGTAGGTGCGAGCGAGACGGACAGGTATCTGGGTCGGCAGCGAAGATGGCAGACTTGGTTCCTAGAAGATGTAGGAGCAGGAGTCTGGAGAAACAGGACACGGCGAGTCGAGGTATGTGCGAAGGTTCGGGTGGAAAAAGGATTGCGACGGAGGATCGCTGGGGAAGATTAGAGGTGGGAGTTCCCGTAGCGTAGGTAGTGTAGGTAGCGCGGCGGGTTAGCGTGCAGGTAAAGGTCAGTCCGGCCCAAGAGTTGGAACACTGGATGCGTGGAATGTGTGGATGTGTGTTTGTATCGTGTGGTGTGTATTGTGTGTATAGGTTGAAAAACGTGACTGGGGTTCCTATTTCTTTTGTTTGTCCAGGAACAGGAAGCACGGGGAAATTGTGGTTGTCGGGACAAGGGCGAAGGGGGGGGGGGGGGGGTGGGGGGGAGAACAAGTGAATCATCAGACGTGTGTATTTGTTGGTGCAGCGCAGCCGACAGCGGGTGGGGGTGGACCTGCCGAACGACTACGTAGGTACGGATACAGTACAAAGTACCTACACTAGGTAGTGGCTGAGGGAGCGAGAGGCAGAGAGAGGCTCAAGCGTAAAGGTGTGCGGTCTGCATTGGGCACCCGTGTTATTTTTTCTTTCTTTTTTGCAGTTGTTCCTGACCCCGAACCTGACCTAACGTGTGTTTGTGTGGGGTTGCTGTCTGCGAACACCAGGTACCTACCTACCTAGTTGGGCAAGATTGGGCGATTCGTTTCCCGGGTAAACGCAGGTCACATGATGATGCTGGAAATGTAGCCAATAGATAAGGGATGATACCAAGTAAACAGGTCGATACGCACTAGGCACTTTTACAGATGTACCTAGGTATCCGTACCTAGGTAGGTGCTGGAGGTGGCTTCCTACGTACCTCAGTATTATGTAGGCAGACAAGTATTACTGTGTTTCTCATTCTCTCCTAGTCTCCTCATCTCAGTCTCCTGCTTGTCAATAGGGAGACGTTGGGATGAAATGAGCTGCGGTGGCTGCGTTTCTTCCTCGTGTATCCGTACTCCGTAGGAAACATGGACATGGGTGGGAATTGCTCAGTCCATGCATGCATTGCATTGGCAATAATGGCCGTTGTAAGTAAGCCACTCAACGGATGGGGGGATGATCCTTCTGCTCTAATGGTTTCTATAGTACGGAGATTCATTTTCTGTCAGGGCTGAATACGAAAACCATAGGCAGGTGTTTACTGCGTAGCGTAAAACTATTAAATAGTGGCGGAGTGAAACAAATTCTCCGTCCAGGGTATCGCATGCGCCTTGTCTGTCCTGTCACTTTGATCTGCTGTTGTGCACCGGTGGCTGCAGCGGCACCCGTTGCCTTATGCTCGAGGCCTTATCAATCAAGTCGATGTCTAGTCCAGTCCATTGCCATGGAAACGTAGTGTACGGAGTACGGAGTACATGTAGGTACCTACAGTATGTCTGGGTAGATACGTACCTGGTCGATAGTGCACTACCCGCGGCGTACCTAGGTCTGGTATGTAGTTACATGGTTATGCCAGGTACCTCATATGTATATACATCGAGCCAGTCAAGTGATGTCACCAAGGGAAAGACCGGGGCACATAACCTATGGAGCCTGTCCCTGGTAGGAGACGGCAGATGAAAGCCAGCCGGCTGCCGGCTGGGAATCCTCGGTCCCTTGGAGCGGTGTGCCAGCCACCAGCCACATAATGCCCTCTTCTTCTCTCCTCAGGATCGCCCTTCACCAGCCACATTTCATCCCACCTCCATTTGCTCGGCATCTGAAAGATTAGACAAGAGAAATGAGAGCACAGTATCCGTACCCGTAGAGAGTGCTTGCTTGCTGCATGCACCGCCTCATAAGTCTCCCATCGAATCGCACCGAGTTTCTTCAAGGTGCTTCTCTCCCGTAGTCCCGAAGCACATGAAACATTCTGCTGTCATTGTCGTCGCTGCCGTCACTCACACACTCACACACTCACACACTCACTTACTGAGCCTTACCCCTTGCCGTCTTGTCACGTCTTGTCGTCTCCTACTTCTCCACGACAACCGCATCGAATATCATTCCAACTTCTGGCCCCCCTAAAAAATAGTCAACAAATCCACTCTCCAGAGCCCAGACATGCTGCCCGACGCTTGGGCGCCCAACCCCTGAACACGTCGAGACCGAGAGACTGAGAAAGACTGATATAGAGAGGGAGAGAGGGAGAGAGAACAATACCACCAACACCGACACCGCCTTTCCCAACGCACCCCCCCGACTCCACGAGCATCTGCCACTCCGGCCCCCTGGTCCCCTCTCCCCTCCCCCCGTTTTGGCCCTGACCCTTTGCTAAGTCCCGTTGCCGCAACAAAATATCCGCTTGACAAGGCTGCCAATCCCCAAAACCCCTCAGATCCAACTTGCACACACACACACACACACACCCACACGCAAAATCATCAGCCTCGCCCGCTACTTTGCACCCAACCCTCCCACCTGCTTGCTTTGACTGCACTGCACTGCACGTGTCGCGCCCATTGCGGTTGCTGCGACCGCCGCCGCCGCCGCCGCCGTCGCCGCCACCACCACCACCACCACCTCCGTCACCACCACTACCACTACCACTATCAGAGACCCGATCCCGAGCACCAAAGCACCGAGCCACAAACTTGCCGGCATCGTCAACAAAGCATTCACCGAATTCCCTCGGCTCTTCCCTTCTTCCTTTGATTCTGCGCCCTGCCGTGACACCCCTCCATCTCGCGCTCTGCGGTTCTACTTTCCCACTGCTCCCCTTTGGCTGGCATCTACGACCATAAGTCAGGATGAGCCAAATCCTGACCCCTCGGCAGGCTGAGGAGCTGTTGGTTCCCCCCACCCCTTGCCCGGCGATCCCTCCTGTGTGCCCTTGGACTGACCCCGAGACTCCCTAGGCACAAGGCCATCATTGCATACCTCTCGTCGAACAACCTCCCTAATGCTGCCAATGCTCTCAGGGAAGAGCTGCAGATCGGCGACTCCTTCGACGATGCCACCTCCAAGAAGTATGAGGGCCTGCTGGAGAAGAAATGGACCAGTGTGGTGCGCCTGCAAAAGAAGGTACGTCGCTCGACGTCCTATCACTTGCGCCTGACAGCCTTGACTGATTTCGACATTGCCAGATAATGGAACTCGAGTCTCGGACCGCTACGCTACAGTCAGAAATCGACAACGCGACGCCGACCTCGCTTTCCCGGAGAAACCAAGACCCCGCCAGCTGGCTGCCCCGTTCCCCCGCTCGACACACCCTCCAATCCCACCGCGACCCGATTACCTGCGTAGCGTTCCACCCCGTATTCTCGTCTCTTGCCTCGGGCTCGGAGGACTACACCATCAAAATCTGGGACTGGGAACTGGGCGAGCTGGAAAGGACCATCAAGGGACACACCAAGGCGGTACTGGACGTCGACTTTGGAGGCCCGCGGGGCGCTACCCTACTCGCATCGTGCTCGAGCGACTTGACGATCAAGCTGTGGGATCCCTCAGACGAGTACAAAAACATCCGAACCCTGCCCGGCCACGACCATAGCGTTAGCGCGGTCCGGTTCATTCCCTCGGGGGCGGCCGGCGCTACGGGCAACCTTTTGGTTTCCGCGAGTCGCGACAAGACATTGCGCATCTGGGATGTATCCACGGGATACTGTGTTAAGACGCTGCGAGGACACGTAGACTGGGTACGCGACGTCTGCCCGTCGCCGGACGGCCGCTTCCTTCTGTCGGCCGGAAACGACCAGACGGGCCGACTTTGGGACATCAGCGCCGCCAACCCCGAAGTGAAGCTGATGCTGGTTGGCCACGAGCACGTTGTCGAATGCTGCACGCTCGCGCCGCCCGCCTCCTACAGCCATCTGGCGACGCTGGCCGGCCTGAAGAAGCCACCGCCAGCAACAAACACTGCTGAGTTCATGGCGACAGGGAGCCGTGACAAGGCCATCAGGTTATGGGACGCTCGAGGAAACTGCATCAAGACTCTCACTGGCCACGACAACTGGGTGCGAGCTCTGGTCTTCCACCCCGGCGGCAAGTATCTGCTCAGCGTGTCCGACGACAAGACATTACGATGCTGGGACCTAGCCCAGGAAGGCAAATGCGTCAAGGTGCTCGACGACGTACACGGCCACTTCGTCTCGTGCTTGCGCTGGGCACCTGGTATCGTACGCGAGGCGGCAACAAACGGAGACGGCGTCAACGGCGCCAACGGAACACCGACCAAGGCAGCAGCGAAGCCCCAGGATGTGCAGATTCGCTGCGTCATTGCAACAGGAAGTGTGGACCTAAACGTGCGCATCTTTGCCAACTAGGCGTTCCGACCAAAGAGGGCCCGAAAACGATGCTACAGCAGCCGGAGGACGATGCGATGCGGCTGGCCTCTGGGCAGACGAGGCAAAGATGCCGGGCCGCCATCGGACCGCGGCGAGAAGCAGATACAGACAGAATCACGGCGTAACGATTCACGAGAAAGATGCAAATGCAAATGGGATAAACTGGAGGCAAGGCGTCAAAAAGGGAGGGGGGGTTCAAAAAAGTAGGGCGTACCAATCTGGCGATTACGTGAGGCCTTGGCTGACGATGTAGATTTTTAGGGAAGACTGTACATGAACCGAATAGATACCCGCAACGCGTCCTCGCTAGGGCTTTCACTTTCACTTTTGACGCGTTCGCATTGCTGCTTGAAGCGGCCAGTCCGCGCCAGTCGGGGTCAGGGATAGAGCAGCAGCATTGAGAATTGCCGACGGGGCAGCGTCCGAGTGCGGCGTCGGTTTAAAGGGACGACGCCATCTCCAACCAGGCTACCTAGTGTAACATCCCAAGCTTTTTTTGAATAGTCAATCAAGGAACGACCAGGGGACGGATGACTGCTGAAAGCACGGTATCCCCGCCGAGGTTTTTAATCAATGCTTAAACTACTTGGGTTAAGGAACAGGTGGGGGGAAAGAAAACAGGGTATCTATGCGTCTCGCGTGATAACGGCGCATTGTGCTCATAAACCTCTCCACACACATTGAACTGACAACAACATCACCATCCCATCAGCTGAGTATTACGTGGATGTATTGCACCGCTGCCCCCGCTGCTCTCCAGTTGCACACGTCACGTCCCGTCCCGTCCCGTCCGACGTGCTCTTTAACCATGGTATGCCTGGTGCCAGTGGACCTCGGTCCTTCCGCTGCGGTGGTACGTGGCCAGGGGGATACCGCACTGCCGGTCGTTAGCATCCTGGTTCCACGCGCCATTCGTCTATGGGGGAAAAGAGAGGGGGAAGGGAGATGAGAAAGGAAAAGAGAAGAAGAAGAAGAAGAAGAAGAAGAAGAAGAAGAAGAAGAAGAAGAAGAAGAAGAAGAAGAAGGAAAAGGCATACCTTGTAGCACTTATGCCTTGCGTCCTTGAGCGAGGTGAAGAGGTACGGGATGCAGCCGAGACAGCTCACGAAGCAGACGATGGCGGCCAGGGCGTGGGTGAAGCCGCCGGACGAGTACTCGACGGCGGTGACGCCGCGGGCGTGGCAGTCGGGGCACTCGACGGGGGCCGGGTGCGGGCCCAGGGCGGGCAGCGGGGTGCCGTAGGGCTGGAAGTTCTGTGGGCCGCCGGGCTGCATCGGGAAGCTCTGCGGCTGCTGCTGCTGCTCCTGGAGCGGGGGGCTGTACCCGCCGTAGGCGCGGGGTTGGGGGGTGTCGTTTGGCGGGCCGCCGTACTTGGGCGTCGCGGCGGCGGTGGTGCCGGTCTGTTGGTGCTGGTACTCGGGTGGCGGGCCGGAGGGGGCGTAGTTGTCCGGGCCGGGTGCCTGTTGCTGGGCTGGTTTGTCCATGATGGCGTGGGGCGATTTGTGCGTGACTTGATCCTTTTTGCTACCCAAGTGGATGAATGTGGTGTCTGTCGGTAGGCTGTGTTCGAAGTGAAGAGAGATTAGAGGAAGAGGGAGAGGAGGAAGAGGAGCGAGGGGAGGGGAGGGGAAGGCTGGTGGTCAAGGGCAGTAAAAGAGAGAGAGTTTGATGACTTATACCAACAGCCCGATGAGTGACGGCCAAGTCCTATCAAGTCATCTTTTTTGGGGGCGTCAAGGGTACTTGTTGCCTGTGTGTACACTCGTACCGGGCAAAGCCGAAGGGGGGGGGGGGGGGACATCAGACGAATAGGTAGACCGTAAGGGCCGAGGGTTGGGTTGGTGCGAGTGTGCCTCCCACCCCTCTCTTCCTCCCTTCTCTGCTTGCCGCAGCCATGGCTATGTCTGTAGGTGCGGGTGTGTGTGTGTGTGTGTGTGTGTCTGTATGTCCGTGTATGCGCGGACAGCCGATGCAGGTACACACAGGCCGGGGAAGCTGGTTGGACGACAGGATCGAAGTATACGAGGGAAGGCCACCCGGAGAGAAAGGAGCCAACTGGCGAGCATAACCTACATGACGCACTAACAGTATCTGTATACACGACGTAGTCAAGTGCTTGGCTTGGTATGATTCAATGAGTGTGGATGGGTGAAGAACGAGGGGGTGGGTCCATGCCACGTTATTCATGCTGAGGTGGGAAGGCATACCTGCAGTGGTACCGGTACAGGTAAGAGGGCGATACTGTGTACGTAGAGGGGTGTGATTGCCAGAGGGTGTGGTAAACCACGACATGCACGTTAGGTCAACTAGGACTGTCAAGCGGGAGGCATGATATCATGATCTGTATACTTGGGATTTGGAGGAAGGGGATGAATGGATGGATGGAGCTTGACTGCGCCTGTAGCATGCGTCTAGGTGATGGGGGGGCATGGTAGTACATCGTACATCCATTGTAGTATGATCAGGAGGAGTATGATCAGCAGTATTGGGCAGGCTCAAGATGGAGGAATCGAATCCCGACAGCAGAACAAGGCCTGGTGGCGATGTCATGTCATGTGATGCCGCCCGGGGCGTTCCTGTGGGTCTGTGGCAGTCGCCGGCCGGGGTGTGGGGGTGGAGGGGCTCAGCCACACCCGGCGGTGTCAGCCACGCTCTGCACTCGCCACACGTGGGACGATGACGGGACCCGGCAGTGTAGGTACACTACCTAGTTGACTAGGTACTAAGGTCACGACAGCCTGACCAGCCTGTGGCTACTGTCGCCCATCTCATCGCGCCCCCCTGTGCTTGCGGATGTTGGCCAGTAGAGAATCCGGGCGGGGCGCTTTGACAGGATGTATCCGTAGTCGCTCAACAAATACACTAGTATGGCTGCCGGGCCGATGTTGTAGTGCAAACCCCTTTTGTATTCACCAAGAGGCTCTCCTATGCGTATTTTTTTTCGAGCACACCTTGGAAGCAGACACGGGTTATGGGCATACATTCGGGAATCTCCCAGAGTCTGACCATCTCCCTTGGGAGGCCTTCGTTGTTGCGGTTCATTACATGCCCCTGGCAAGAAGCGATGGCCTCACGCTAGTGAATGACTGCAGTTTGAGATGTCAATGAAGAGTCTGCCAGCCTGGATTGGGAGAATGGTCGATCTGTGTCGAACCCCTCCCAGAGGTCATGTGTCTACCAACCAAGGAGGGCAAGTTAGAGGGTAGCAAGTGGCATATGCCGTGCAATATGGGGATGGAAGCTGCGCCGTATGGAGAGAAAAGCGGAGGCGAGGCCGGGGAGAAGAGACTAGAGAGGCCTAGGGAGGGGGGGCGCGTGAACTGCCAGAGCATGGCGCCAACGAAGCTATTCGGGGTTGGTCCGGAGCCCCCGCCGGCACCTACCGTGGGACATGGTGAGACGGTGCCAAGTGCCGCACAACGTTATATGGGTGGGCCAGTGCCTTTTGAACCCGAGGCAGTGGTCTGGAGTACAGATGACATGTCCCTGATGGCGGTCGGCAGGGACGCGCGCGCGCAGGTTTCCGTGGCTTCGGTGCAGGCGTTCAGGTCAGCGGTTTCTTCTCGTTCCTCGCCGTTGGCGCTGTTGTGCTGATTCGCAAGGAATCGACCATCTCTGCGTCGAGAACCATGAGCGGCCATCCGAGTCTAGACGTGGTCACGCCGGGGGGTGTAGTAGCTTGTACCAAAGGGAATCCCGTCCTGAGGCCCGTAGAAGCGCCCCCTTCACTCGGAATGCCAGGCGGTCTGCATGCTTGCCGTCGTAGATTGCAGTGTCTCTCTCGTCTAATGACAGCCGAGAACGCGTCCTCTTCGGCTTGTGTCCGATGGTCGTGCGATACAGCATCCTATAGGGACATGGCTACGTCGGAATGATATGATGGTGTGATCCTCTGTACGTCTCGTTCACTCATTGATCGGCTCCCATGCCCGCCTGTTAGCCCAAACATTGTGCGGCCGAGGAGGAATTCCCCGGCGTCTTCAGTCCGGTCACGAACCAGACAATAAAGTCCCTCGGCAACCTCATGTTTCACCGCTGCAGATGTTTCAAGATGGTGAAGCGGGCTCGACCAGAGTACCTATATCGGGCGGATACAATAACGAGGAACGGGGGAAACGTGGAGGAGTTTGTCCAAGCCAAGCAAAGGGGAAAGAATAAAGATGACGAGGCTTCCACTGTCCGAAACTGTTTTCCCTCTTAGCTTTTTTGGTTCCCATATCACCTCTTTTTGTCAATCATGTTCATTGACTTATTCTGTATTTCTAGCAGCGGGCCATACTATCTATCTAATCGGCATCTGATTTGATTGCGAGATCGTAGCGACCCTAATCCGGAATTCGTTGTTTCTTTCTGGCCCTCAGGAGCCAGAGTTCTCAAACCCTAATGTTGCCATGGAGGGAAAAGCTGTTCTCGACGGAGCCTCTCTTTCCTCTCCTCTTTCCTCTCCTCTTTCCTCTTAGCTATTGGTGACTACAAAGCTTGGCTCGGCCCGGCCGAAGGACTGTTACAGGTACTGTTTCTAGGGAAGATATCCGGAGGGCTTGCCGCGCCCAACGACAGAACAAAGGCCGCGATGACATGTGCTCCGCCTGTGCATGGTGTCGTCGAAATTTGGGGACACCGCGTCAAGAGCATGGCCATCGGGAGGTACGCGCAGTTGACTGAGACGGCCGAGACTACTCGACAGTCTCGGTAGCGAATGGAACCGGTAGACCTTTCGTTTCCACGCGCAGCAAAGACTTCTCCTGAACAAATAGACATGATGGCTTGCAATTGTCGGAAGGATTACGCCTACTTTCGGGTTCTTGGGGACCTGACATGATGGTGCAGTAAAGAGGGTGTTGGATGCGCAGTGTGATACGTCTACATGACGGTGCGTAAGCTCTCAAGAGCTGCCAGCTTCGCTGGGTTAGACCGACAAGGCCTGCTCAATGGTGGCAAAGCCCTTGACGAATTCCGCCTGGACTGATTTCAGGTTCTTGATGTCCTCGGGGAGGACGTCGTCTCTCCACCACTCAAACCACGCGCCAATCTCCTCAAAGTTCGCGTCTTCCAAGCCAAGCCATTCGGACAGCTTCTCGTGCCACAGCGGGAACACTTCTGTGACGATAACCTCGCCCATTACCTTGGGCGTCAGGATGCCGGACCACCCGAGCACGCCTGTGAGCATGGGGAGGTAGGGTTCCTGGTCGCTCGGGTCGACCCTGAAGTTCTTGCGTAGGTAGCGGCCCATCGCCGGCAACACATGGCTCATGATCAGCGGGCGCCATTGGTCGGCGAGCACATCGCGCCACTGTTCCAGGCCCGGGATGACGCCGCGGTCAAACTCCCACACGTCAATCAGCTGCCTGTATTTTCTGCGCACCTCGGCGACCAGTCCTGTGCCTTTGGGCTCCAGGTGGTACGATGGTAGGTACTGGAGCCAGGGGAACAGCCAGAGGTGAGGCAGCTTGTGGCTCTGCCTTTTCTTCTTCGGGTTCCACTCCGTCACAGCCGTTTCCAGATTGCGGACAACGGCATCGAGAAACTGCGCACGAACGAACGGTGGCAACAGGTCTGACCAGGCCTCCAGGACAGCCAGAAGCGGCGTAGGGTCGAAGACATCCCAGTCGCGGACGGCCGAAACGGCCCTTGTGTACCAAAGCTTGTACATCATGGTCTCGTAGGGCGTCGTCGCCTTTTGGTGCTGGCGATAGAGGTCATTGGCACTCAGACCAGTCGACTCCCACTTATCAACGGTCTTGTGACCCTCGCCGGATTTTGTGAGGATGCTTCCCAGTCCCTTTAGCTCTGTGGCAAACCGAGTCGGTTGCTCCAGCAAGTTCCAATCGGGGTCGCGGAAGAAAGGGTGAATAGCTGCAACGGCGAGATCCGAAATCTCGTCGGTCGTCGGTCCGATATGTTGAACTGCTTTCTCCAGGCAGCGGATGACGTCCTCCCATTCGGTGGCTGAGGGGAGCTCATTGGTGACGATGTTGGAAAAGACTTGTAGCCTGCCCAGGTCCGAGGCGAGGTCCGCCATCTCCTGCTCCCTCTCGCGCAGCTCCAAGTCGACCCATGTCTTGCGCTCTTCCAGATTCCTCCACTCCTCCGAGAAAGCTGCCAAATCAGCGTGTGCTCTCTTCACCAACTTGCGGGCAGCCACCACCTCGGGGGACTCGACGACTGCAGAGGAGGTCGGGGTCAGGAGTCCGGGCGCAGTCGTCAAAAGCTTGTTGCCCGGTCCTGTCATGTCCAGAATGGGGGTGAAAGCCTCTGGAATGTGAAGTCCGGGGGCAGACTTCTTGATTTCTTCCGCCGTCATGTACTTGGGCTTTTGCCGTTTCGGGGTGCTGACGCCGCTGCCGCCTGCGCTGGCCGTCTTCTTCTTTCGCTCTCTCTTCCTCTTCTTTTCTTCCTCATCCGAATCGATGACCTCCTCGCCCCGCAACTTGGCCTGTCGCTTTTCCTCCTTTCTCTCGTGCTCCGACTTCTCCTTTACCGCACCTAGACCAATGCCTTGCGGTCGAAGGTGCGCTTCGATGATGACGCTCCGGCCTTGCCCCTCTCTTCCGAGACCATCGCCCTCTTTATAGCCCATCTTTGCCATCATTCGCGCGCCAAACGACATGGGGTTGGGCTTTGCCTTGCCCTTGGCACCGAAGGCACTGGGATGGACCACCTTTGGCGTGGAAGGTGCATCTTGGACATCGGGTCTCAAGACGGGTACGTTGGCGGATGAGGGTACGAAACCGCGACCGAAGGGGGTTTTGCCATCGAACTTGGTTTTTGCAAACGATCGCACGGGAGCATTAGCTGCGTCAGCGTCGTCGTCGTCGCTCTCCTCGGCTCGGGCAGGCTTGAAGCCCAAGCCACGCTGCGCTCCGCCGAACCCCAGCCCGACGCCGCCAACCTCAGCTTCATCATCGTCGTCGTCATCGTCATCGTTATTTTCATTCGAGTCGTCCGAGTATTCCTTGGCGTCCGCGTCGTTTGTTTTGTTGTCTTGATCGAGGGTAGTGGTGCCCGTAGAGACGAAGCTCATGCCCTTACTGCGCAGAGTCTTCTTCTTCCACCGCCGTCCGGGACCATCGTCTTCGCTGTCAGATCCAAATATTCCCAGCGCGGCGCTCTCCTTTGTGTTGCCAACGCGCCGGCGCTTTCGTGGGTTCAGGTCGCCAAAGTCGTCGCCTTGGGATGGGTCTGTGACGGGCGCGAGGTAGTCATCATCGTCTTCTTCTTCCGACTCGGAAGAGTATTGCGCGGCGGACTTCTTCGTCAGACGCGAAGGATCGAACGTGGGAAAGCTGGCCATGCTGTTAGCTAGGCACGATGCGGCGCGAACAAATTGGAGAATTACGTGCAAGATGTTGCGACGAAGACTACTTTTTTTTGGAGGAGAAAGCATCACGCAGCCAGGCAGGCATGCTTCCCGCCCCCACGCCCGATAGCTAGAGGGTGGGTCGCTGCTGTTCCTTATCTTCACGTGATCCTTGAGGCGATGACGCTGATGTCATCAACATTCATTAAGTGCATATACCTTTTTATTCGTTATTCAAGAACTAATCATTCAAGTGGCCATGGCACATATCCCAGGTGACGGCAGTCCCAAAGCCGCCTTGATCTGCGACGGAAAAGTTTTTGTCAAATTCTCGTCATCTACAAATCGCGAATGCCGGCCTCCAGACTCTCCTTGAATGGTGTCCAGCCCTGGCCAAAGTACTTCTGCAACAAAGCCTCGGCCTTGGCGGCTGGTGGAACCTCGGTGAGGTCGCGGCCCACATCGGCCGGGTTCTCCGGAATCAATTTGTTGTCGGGCCTGAGCTCGCGGAAGGCGTCAATGAAGTCGGAGGTAGTGACGCGATTCGCAGAACCCCAGATTCTCTGCGACTTGACCGGCTCGGCGAGCAGGGCGATGACATGGAGACGCGCGACGTCGACAACGTCTACGGTGAGTTCTAATCGAGGGTTGCGTTAGCCGAGGGAACTTGTCCCGACAGCCTCACATACTACACTTACGCGGCATGAACATCTGCAACCCGGCTAATTCACCCTTCAACACGCCACGGGCAAAGCCCATGGTCGAACCATGTATCTCCGGGTGAAGAATCTCTCCCATCTGAAGGCGAGTTAGGTTTTGGAAGCCGGCCTCCACGGAGAAGCTCAAGTACTCACGGTGAAGTTGGGCAAGATGCTGTTGAATACGTAACCGGGCTTGTGCTCTCCGACCCACTTCCAAGCAGCTCGCTCTCCCTCGGCCTTGGAGGCCGAGTAAACGATGCCTGGCTTGACTTCCTTGGGGGTATCCGGGTCCCAGGCCGCCTTGATCGCGGCTTCGTTGTACGTGCCTGATAGCCTTGGTCAGCATTCATGCTATTTTCCGAGGAAACAAATACTGATGATATATGATACGGGGAGCGGTTAAACTCCCTGTATGCCCACAATAGAATACGTACTCTCGTCGACGTAGTTCTTCTGATCAGGGACAACGAGCGATGCTGCGAAAGCAGAAGAGGTGAGAACGACGCGCTTGACGGAAGGTTGCTTCGCGGCAGCCGCCAAAATGCTCTCGGTTGCCTTCACTACCCAAGGAATGACGGTGTTGGGGTCGTCGCCCCAGGTCGTGTCAGAAGCCTTTGGGCCGAGTGTTAGCATACCAACATACAAATCCCATTTCGGGTACGGAAACGTGATGTAAAGGCTTACCACACTGGCGACGCCGGCAACATCAGTCAGAATCTTCTCGAGAGCCTCCGGATCGTCGAGGCGAGGAACGACGACCTGCTCATAGACACCTTCGCCGTACTTGGTCTTGAAAAACTCGTTGAGCCATGGCTTGTCGGACCGGACAGTGCCGCGGACGCGGTAGCCCAGCTGGAGCAGAGTATTGGCAACATGAGAGCCAATGTATCCGTTGGCTCCGGTGACGAGGACTAGAGATCCCTTGGGAAGTGCGGTAAGTTCCGACATGATGTTGGATAAACCTGATGTCACTTATATGTGGGGTACTCGGATAGCTGGTAGTTGTAAGGGGCGGGAAAGAGCTTAATCGTATTGGGCGCGATGGTTAGTTGATAAGATGAAGAGGATATTCAAAAGATGGCAGAGTCTCACGGTACTCCTGCTGCTTAAGTAGTAATAGCAGCGGCAGCAGCAGCAGCAGCAGTAGCATCAGCCAACTATCGCAGCCTATTTGTGGAGTCCAACAGAACCCATCGATTACTAAATTCACAGATTTCAGTAGAAGCGGATATCTGCTTAGAAACCCCCTCCTCTCTCTCTTGCTTTCTCGGCAGGGGTTTAGCGTCCAGCGTTTAGATACAGGTCCATACCCCCCCTGTTGGGAGCACAAGAGCTTTGACGAATGACGCAAGGCATAAGTTGTCACCACCCGGAACCCACGGGCGCTGAAGGGGGGGTGTATAATCCTCCTATTATGTTCTGGGCGGCTGCTTTGTAATACGTATTTCTTCAAACGCATGCATGCCGTCTTACATCCGGCTAACAAGTTATTAAGTTGACTGACTCCATCAACCAATGCTTTCATTCCTCAATAATTCATGATGCACAAATCTTACAAGGTTTCGTCATCCAGTTCCGGTCCGTAGTGCTGAGCTGCAGCCCACTTTGAATCTGATAGGCGTGGCTGCTTATTCTGGCCATCGTGCCATCCAACTTGCTCTCTTGTCTGGCATCGACAGGCGATAAACATGATGCTGTAGTGTAGAGGCTGTGAGCATGCCGAGTCTTTACCGCATATATGGCGTGTCCTTCTGGTTTCAGACTGGTGGGTAAGAAGCATCGTAATTGTTCGCGGGTCACGGACATGTTCTCAAGAAGCATATTTCCTGCATCGACTTTCCACTACAACTATCCGTACCTAGTGCACTTACTAGAGGGGGTCGCTGGACGGGTGAAAAGTGGCACGATGGAAACCTTGTTTCGGAGAAAATTCAAGTGCTAATAATTGATTACCGAGCTGATGGGAAGGCCGGTGCCGCCGGTTAATAGTGGGGGGAGGGGGTGGTTTCTGTCGAGAGTCAATTGATATGGCAAGCCACGGGTTTCGGGAGCCGCCAAGCAGGCGCGAGTCTATGCCAAGTTAGACTACCAAGCTACGGATAGACTATCCAGACTCAGTCTATTGTGCTTGTGATGCATGCCATCTGCAGAACAATGAAAGAGGTTTGGCATCTCATCCAGGTTGCTAGGTATCATATCATATGAGGAGGGGATGAGAATGATGGAGAAGTGAAGGGTTCTGGTTACTTGTCAGAGGGCAGTTTCAATCTTATCAGACGAACGCTGGCCGAGACGAAGTGAGAGATGGGACGAATAAGGTGACCCCTCATTACATACTTACCTACCCACCTACCTACCGGTATTTACGGGCGTCATCAGAGACCAATTTTGACATGCTACATCACCTCACTGTGCTCATCGTTCCCTTCCTTGATCATCTCGATGAAATTGTGTATCC